CTCAACCGCAAGGATCCGATCGCAGTGTGCACCGCTGGACCTCAACCAGATAGTTTGCCAGATAAAATCCACAAACACACAACAAACACACAATCACAAACACACGACCACAAACGCGCAACCACAAACACACAACCACAAACACAATCACAAACCCACAATCACAAACACACAACTACAAACACAACTACAAAGACACAATCACAAACACATAACCACAAACACAAAACCACAAACACACAACCACAACCACACAACCACAAACACACAATCACAAACACGCAACTACAAACACAATCACAAACACACAACTACAAACACAACTACAAAGACACAATCACAAACACACACAACCACAAACATACACACAACACACAACCACAAACACACACACACACAAACACACAACCACAACCACACAACCACAAACACAACCACAAACACATCCACAAACACAACCACAAACACACAACCACAACCACAAGTACAAACACACAATCACAAAGACACAACCACAACCACAACTACAAACACATAATCACAAAGACACAACCACAACCAAAACTACAAACACATAATCACAACCACTACCACAAACACAACCACAAACACATCCACAAACACACAACCACAAACACAACTACAAACACACAATCACAAAGACACAACCACAACCACAACTACAAACACACAATCACAAAGACACAACCGCAACCACAACCACAACTACAAACACACAATCACAACCACTACCACAACCACTACCACAACCTCAAACACACAACCACAAACACACAACCACAAACACACAACCACAAACACAACCACAACCAGAACACAGCACACAACCACAGCACACAACCCGAGGACCCACAAGCAACATCGAGAACTACAATACTAACGACTATGGCAACATGCTCCTCACTATGGCATCAAGACAAATGATTGAAATGTCATGGTGGGGATCACTCGAAGTAAAGTAATTAAACAAATTATTTTATATTTTCAAACAACTCATGCCTTAATAATGGACGGTTAAATCCTTCTAATGTATAATATTTGTGTCCTAATTTTGTTGCAATGTTTTCTACTGTATATTCACCTTGTAAAAAATGACTTGTTCTCTCTTTCTCTGTAATTGCTTTCTTCCTCATTATTTTTACCTTGTCTCCCACCTCTAATGTTGGATACATCTTTTCTTTCCTTGCTTTCACTGATACATTCAATTTTGCTTTAAACTCGTTCTTCTCTTTCTTTGCTTCATTTGGTGTTAGTCCTGTTGCACTATGCACATCTTTATTATATAAGTCAGCCTTATTTCTAATATGTAGTCAGTCCATTGTATATCAATGGAAAACCGCACTCTCAGGGACACCCGTTCTGTTATTATAAGTGTGTGTGCGCGATTGATGTTCAACATGTCCCACAAACACCCATTACACAACTAAAGATATTCCTACTCCAGGACCTGCGCCTGACACGCCTCTTGCGTCTGCGTGAGCATGCTTGGCAGCTTGCAAAAGCAAGACCTCTACAACAGAAAGTCGATCTTTCGTAGCACCACTTGACAGTTAACTCCCGCGGCAAAGATCGACCACTGTACGCATGATGAGCCTTCTTCTTCATTTGGGGGGCGGGCTACCATATAAATGTAGTTATATATCACCAGCATTCTAAATTTGGAGCATCAAATCACACTCAATTTAGACCAATCTAGTTCTATTCCATACATGGAGTGTCTGGTACTCTCAACCCATTTTCCAGGTGATCTTTTCAACAAGGAAAGAAACCTCTCCGCCGAGCCAAAGTCTGGTCGCCTGTCCGGCATCGAGCCATACTCGTTCACGGCTGAGGGGTTGAGCTTGCAGCTGCCGCCCGTGTGGAAGGAGGACTGTGCAGCGAAGCGGAGGAAGCGGAGGAGCACGCGGCTTTGGCGCAAGGCGTGCGGCCTTTGTGTTCTCGTTGTGACTCTGGAGAGGTTCTTGAAGCTATCGATGGGTTTAGTTCCCAAGCACTCCATGTATTGCATATTGACCGAAATTCACCTTTGGAACCACCCAAATGTATAATATTCCAGTGCCATGGAGTGTCTGGGGTTGGTTTTCAGGGTCAACGATAATGCTTTCTGGGAGCAACCCTGGGTGATGTTTGCATAATAAGTCTGAATGTTTCTAGCAAAAATAATTCTGAATGTTTCCAGCAAAAAAAGAAACGAACACCTTCCTGAATTCCAGCGCTATGTTCACAATGCTTCTGCAAATAGATCAGTGTCCCATGTGTTCCATGATGGACAAGTTCTAGCTACTGCACCTAGTGGTCCTCCGCCTCTCTCCCTCTCTCTCTCTCTCCCTAGCTGTCTCTTTGTTTTGTTCACCTTGTCCATGATATACAGTAAATACATTGTAACTGATGTTGTTCATATGTTGTATTCTGCTAATGCACTGATGTAGAAGGGCCCTATTTCCCCGGGTGCATGGGATATCTGGATATCCAGCTAATCTTGTCCGGGTCCGGCATGGAGAGGCTGAGTTCATGAAAGCGATCAGCTTTCAGAGTCGATCCAAACAACAAATGAGCTGGAAACCCTATGCCTTACCCGCAGCAAACTGTTCCTTACGCCAACCCTCCGTATCAGCAAGCTCTTAACCAACATGTAAAGAGAGGTTTACGCTATGGCTCAAATCGACCACACCTACAAATGATCCTGGTGGACCGTGAGTTGGACAGGAAGCGCGAAAGGCTATTTTCATCGACCACCCAATCCTTGAGGGTCCATGTGGTCACTCTTCCAGAATCTGCAGTGTGACAGGTCCTGCAAGTTCCAGAATCTGTGAAAACCACAGGTTGTGTTGCTCCCAAAAGAAAAGATCAAACAGAGAATCTGCAGTCACTGCACTCTGCAAACAGTTCCAACCAGACTGAGATCCCCCGTTTTTTCCGGTGTTGAACTGGAAAAACCGGGAAGTCGGCGCTCGCTTTCCTCCGTTGTTCGCTGGCACGCCAGCGAACCGCACGAACCGCGAACGTGTGTCAATTGGTGCCCACTCACGCGAACCGCGAACCGAGAACCAGAGGTTGAATAGCCCTGGATGGGCCCATCCATGCTCATCCCGTTTTCAGTTTGTCAGGAGTCTATGACCTGTCTCCCCCAAAAGCCGGGTAAGCTGGCTCAAGTGAAAGTTGTGGTTTGTGATGGGCGCGCTCTTGTGTAACCGTACAGTATTGGTTACCCTGGAGACATTGAGATACCACTCTAAGAGCAAAGGACATTTGGATTGATTTTGGAGTTAGGCTTGTATAACAACCATCAACAACCCAACTGGATCGAAAAACCGCTGGATCTTCCTTTGGACCTGAACCCAGACCTCCATCGGCGCCTTAGACACGTCCATGTTGACCTCAGAAAGGGCGGGTGGGGGGCTCAAATGAGGTGCCACGGTTATGCTTTCACGCACGGGAGGGACTTCCAACTCACCATCCTTCCAGGGTTCTATAAGGACGTTCTGAGTCAGACTTCGATTAAGTCTACACGTCTGGTATGGTCTTTTTGATCTTCATCCAAGCACTAGGCGGCCAGGACATGATCGTGCCATACTGTACCTCTGAATTGGGTGTGCCAGTGTGCCATGTTGATCATTCCACCTATATTAGCTCCGGAAAACACAAAGTCCTGTGGCTATGCCGGCTTGGAAAACAGTGTCCTTCAAACAAACCCAGCCTTTGGATCTTCAGTAATCACCCATGGCTCTTCCATACCACCAGTGATTCCCAGGTTATCAAGTTTAACACAAGCAGCAAACAGAAGCAAATCATCTCAATCTAAAAATGGTCCTTCGAGCCTGCAGGGTGAGTCCTTCCAATGAACATGTTCTGACCATTCCAAAATCCTCAAGAACAACATCTTCAAACAGTGTAACTTGTCTAATTACTTATTTGGGGAGAAGCATGGAGAAGACATGAGGAACGCCCTGAAGTGCACCTATTGCGCATCCTATTCTTCACATGCACCTATTGCGCATCGCGACTTCGTGATCTGGCGATGCTTCATGAGTTGTCAAATTCACATTTAAAAAAAAAAACATAATAACCGTGATAAACACCCTCGATCTCGATGGATTCTCCAGGTTTCAGCCATCAAAACGCCCCCCCTCTGCTGTGCTCTCTCTCCACCATCGTGCAGCCCAGAGGGCATATTCCAACATGTCCAGTTCACCACCATTGGGCCATTCTCCATGATCCGCCAGAGTGAACAATGCAGGCCAAACCTCACAACCACGGCACTGGCGCACGCGGGCGCGGGCGCAGGCACGCTTCCGCGGCAGGGTCCGGTGAGTGTAGCATGGTCTTCGGTCCTCCCAGCTGGTGCCTTGGGCCTCTGCACGGTGCACGGGGCTCCGTCGGCCACACTGCAAAGTGACCGGCCGCAGCGACGGATGCGGAAAAGACTGACGGAGTATGGGAGGCACTGGAAATTGCATGCAAACCCAAAACCGGCGCAGCCCACTCGATCTAAGCCAGGTGCTTAACACCTACCGTAAGAACCCCCTACCTAGTACTAGTAGTGTGTCCACACTGTTTGGGGAAAAGCAACGGATGGTAGCCGATTTCGGGGAAACTGTCCCGAGTTTGGGGACTCTTACATGGAATACAGGCAATATGTGTTGCTTGATCAAGAAGGACAGTTCCACAAACATATCATCGGTCAATCTACGAACGGATGGACACATGCTTCATCGAACCCTTTCCAAACAAATGCCGTCCTTCAAGAAAAACATCTTCACCAGCTCTCTTTCCAATGTTGATGCACTTGTCATTTCACCACTTATTGACAACATTGACCTTGCTCTCGGTGCTCGCTTTGCAATCCAAGGGGCGCCGCAGCCGTAAGGAACATGGGAGAACTTGAAGAGAGACAAAAAGTTCTTCCAGGACTGCTTCGTTTCCTCAAATCCGCAAAAAGGGGAACTCCCGCAAACTTTTGGGCTCAAAGACAGGGGAACTGGACATAGGAGGACCTGGCCAGAGTTTTGTCTTCCAAGGCCAACAATGATAACTGTCAGTTTGTTCTCCTGCGTTGTCACGTTCAAAAGAAACCAACGCGACACAAATTCTCACGCATGCCAAAATGCCAAATGAAGTTTTCTGCCCGTAAAAAGTTCCTCAAATGAATTGTTCCGAGTCCCCAACCTCACTCTTGGACTCTGAACCGTCTTAACCCATGCACAAAAATCGCAAACAATCTACCTTGGTGCCTGGACGTGAGGCCGATGTCGATGTCCCTGATTCGTTTCTCACTTCGATGGTCCAGAAAACCAAGTTGAAGATCAGTAAGCCATGGCCAAATTGGTGCTCTACAACACAGATTTCCCTCATACAGTCCTGACATGCATGAGACATCCAACGAATCACCCAGCTGGCCGCAGTCCCAGGAGGTTGGTGTTTGGTTTGTCGAAAGCAAAACGGGGGATTGGCATTGGACAGTTATACTAACTGACTGCAAACCGAACCCAAATCAACCTTGCAACAAAACGACGTGTCAGGGGATGCTGACCGGTCCTAGATTTTTGCGAGAAAACTAGGTGCTGAGCTGCAAGCCTTGCTTGAGTTCACACGTCAACAGCGAATATTGCCTACAAACAAAGTCAAAAGATTGCCAGCCCCACAACGGATTGAGGACTTCCGTGGTTGAACATTCTCAACATTGTTATTTATAGCTAATATACTACGTATTGTTGACTGGCACATGATGGCGCATAATGCTTGGTCAGCATTTGATTTCCCAAAACAGCACTGTTGCCCATCCTCAACAAAAGACTCGTAGATCTCATCGATTGCAAAGTTCAAAACCACCAAAAGAGTCGTCCCAAGAAACTCGTTGGTCAAACCGTACATTGGTGCTATGAGATGTATGATGCAAGTCAGCAATGGTTCTTACTAGGAGCTCATGATGAAGGGTTGTAAAAATCTTGAACTGCTCGTATATACTGTATGTATACAAAGTTTAGAAAACAGTCATTCATAGTCATTCTAGTCTTGCAATGTACACACATGTTGAACTCCGGTCAAAACTGCAGGTCTTCCTGGGATGTTTCCAAACAGTCCAGTTCTTCGGCTGCTACTTCTATTGACATCTATCTATTGACTACAAGTTGGCCAATATGATGACCAGTGGCCAGTACGATTACCTATCCCAAACATTCGGGACTGGCATGCTTTAACTATCAGGCGTCAACTGATCGGGTTCTTGGAATTCAGGAACCTGGAAACAATGTTACTGTATTCCCCATGCTTTGAGGTTCCCCAGGAAATCCCAGGAATCTTGGAATCAAGAACTCTTCCCCGGAAGTGGCTTTAACATGCTTTAACAACCATCACCTGATCCGCACAACCAGGGGGCTTCATCTGTCAGTCCCGTAGTAGCGTCATCCATGGGCTCTGCCAGTAACGTCCGACGGAACCACCACGGCCGTTCGTTGGGAACCGATCGCCGAGCGGCCATGCGGGCGGTCATCCGCTTGTATTTATACCTCGGCCGTGGCGTGTCGCTCGCAGCCTCGCGTCACTACTCGAGGTAGGTTTCTCGCCGCGACTGGAGGGCTGGGAATACGGCATGGGACTACATGTCGCTGCGACTGTCGCATAAAACGAGTGGTGAGGAGCTCGCCGGAGACCGAGGAGTACGATCAAACTAGATCAAACAACTGCGTGGGTTCCACACCTGTTTGGATGATGGTGCTAGAAACAATGGCCATTTCACGTGGTATGACCTGTGGTCTATGTTGTTCTACCAAATCGACGACCCGAGAAGTTCTCTCTCTCCCTGAATTCTCCATGGCCTACTTTGACTCCGGTATATCGCTGAAAATGGTGAGTGACCTGTGCCGCAACATAGCACATGGTTGGACAACTTCTATACCACACGCTCCATGTCTTAATCGCTCCAAATTGTTGCTGGGTGGTCCCAACGTCGAAACTGCAAGGACTAAATCGCTAAGACACTGAGGACTCCGTCGCCCCGCGCGGATGATGGCATAGTTGTCTCGGCGCTCAGTTGAGGAGAAGAACGGCTGTGATTTTCAGTGTGTGCCAAAGTCTAGAAATTGTGGAGTTCCAGAAAATCCTGGTTTAGCGGCTTAGTACAAACATCAAACAACACACCCACAATGGCAAGGCATCTGACCATATCTGACCTAGGTATTAAATTACACCTGGAAGCGTCTCACAACTACAACCCGCCACGAGCAATGTTCTACCTTAACATACCTTAACCACATCTTAGACAACAATTGAGCTCTCACTCCTGGAATGAACATGTATATGAACTACCCAATTCCTCCGGCTGTTGGGGTTCAATTTACAACCAGTACCTGGTGAAACTTCTTGGCGGCAAGTAACAAATAGTTTTCCCCTGAGCTTGAGACGGCTACGCAAACCTATGAAATTGGCTTTAGGACGAGTAGCCAACTCAGCTTTGACCCACGCATTCAAAAAACGAGAGGTGCTGTGCCCCCCCTTTAGCCACGTGGCCAAATGAATGGTACAAGAATCCGAAGATGGACTCTGGCATAAGACAATTTCTATTCGTGGGGTTCTTAGGATCGCTGCCACTGATGTTTTGTGCGCTTTCACAAACTCGATGGATGAAAAAAAAAATGTGTAAGTATAATACACTTCATTGGAAGAACTGCTTTCGCTTTCCACTTTCTAACCCCTAAGTTGCCCCCATTCACAAACGAACCTGCCCGGATTATTGACATACAAGCTGAAGTCGCCTTGTCGTTCGATGCAAAGAATATCAAGCAGAGAATGCAAATTGCACTGACACCTCTCATATATGTCAGAGGAACACCAGTTAATTGACCTCTCTCCTCACGCCGAACAACGATCAGTTCCAAGCAACGAGCTACACCACTGGGTCTCCCCAGTCGCAGCGACTGAAAACAGCCACCCGATCCCTTCGCAAGGTAGCTCCAGCCTTGCTCCTTCCATCTCCTTCAGTGACCCCCACGGTGAAGCGCTGGAGGTCCGGTCCGGTGCGACCGTCATCACGCCGGGGCGCTGGTCGCTTCGACGACACCCTCTTCTTCGGCCTTCGGTGGAAGGAGGTACTCCGCGGAGCCTGGCCCGAACGGACGGGAGGTGCGTCGAGTGAAGAGGGAGGGCCTCCCACGAGAGGTGAAGTGAGCTTATAGGACCCCAACCTCCGTTGGCCTCTGGAAGGGTAGAAGGAGAGCCCTAAGAAGGAAGATGAAGGAAGGCTTTGCGTCTAGCTTTGGTCTACAGTGGTCCTCAAATTGGTGCAGAAGGGCCTACAGTGCTCTGAGGACATCTGAGGAGCTCTGAGGAGTTCTTCAGGCGGTCGCCAAGAGTGTTGTCCCGGAACCAGCGGTCTAGGCCTTGAATATTGTAAAATGCACCCGTAGACAAACTCACCAACAGAAATTGGACAGCAAGATATGACATGGCCGCAGTAGTAATGTGCATGGTCGTCATAGAGAAGCACAATGCAGAGGACGACATTCGCTGGATTTTGCTACATTGGTGATTTATCTTTGTGGGCAGGAAATATCCATCTATATAGTCTATATATATATAATGTTTGTTGGTGATTGCGATTGACAATCTCAAACCAGCAAGTGAAGGTTTCAACAATCAACAAATCTCAGAACCCCCCAACCACTAACTCGCTCACATAGTTCTACTGAATCTCCCACCCAAACCAGGCGACCAGTCCGGTCCACGCGTCGCGCGGCGCGGCGCGGCGCCGTGGTTTGGATCGTCCCACAGGAACTTGAACTGGTCGAAGAAGCTGGTCCCCTGCAGGAGAGGACCACTCCGTCCGGTGCGGGCTGCTGTGCACGGCACAGATGCTCCGTCTCTGGTTCGGTTTTGTTCATGCCGGGTCAAAAGACTAGACAGCAGTGGGGCAGTGGTCACCTGAAAAACAATGGAATCACAAAAAAACACTGAAACTTCAGACTGAATCGCCAGCCTGAAATTGTGGCAAACTGATTATTGCATACAACTTCGAAACAAATCCCTTGCAAACTTGAGGCGATGTGACTTTTGCCCCTAGCAAATTGACGGAACCAGTGCAAAGCTAGCATTAACCTCACCTTGCCAGCAACAGGAAGAACGTGAATTCTTGGTGGTACAACCCAAACAGCGCACAAGGAGGTTGTAGGATGTTCTAGGTCTGTTACTTTCCCCAACCACCCTAATTAAGTGGCTAACACTCAAAGTACCGTAGCAACACAGTGCTCCACCATGCTGCCAACCTGTTTGTCACCTTTCACATGCTGGTGAATAGAGTTACTTGAGAGCAAGGTATCAAAACCGCTGGAACGGCCCCAAAACGGTGCAACATCTCAATCCTCCCAAAACGACATCACCGAAGCAACCCATCAGTGTCCACTCCCACAAACTCCATCGACCATCAAAACGTCCGCGTCCGACCGTGCGCGCCTGGGCCTTCCACACCAGACTGGGCAAGGCGGGAAGGCTGGTCCCCTCAAAGCCATGATGAGATCCATCTGGGTGTTCTAAAAGGGAACTCTCGCAGGCACCCTCTGGGTTTGGAATATTAGCCAGGGCCAGGGGGGGGTTCCCTACTAAAAATACATACCCATGTGGGGCATGTTTGACCCTCTATCCGGCCTGGAGGGAGGTTGGAATTTGATCAAAGCCACACATGGGATGTGGCCATGAACAAGCGCGAGCCTATTCAACAACACACCCACGTGGTTTTCATTATTTGAGTGGCCCCAGTCATCCAGAAACCTTGAATGAGGTGATCTCTTCAACCACCAAACCACCACCAGCTTCACTTGCTTAAGCAGCGAGGCGCCAACCATCGCCAATGAGGTCCGGATGAATCACATCAAAAATGTACACTT